AAACATGGGCACTTCCCGCCGGACACCCGGGATTCCCCTGGGGCAGCACCCAAAGGAGGGCACAGGGAGGGGATGCTCAGCCCTGGCCTGGGGGATGCAGCCGTGAGCCCAGGGCAGCAGTTCCCCATCACATCCCAGCGGTTCCCCATCCCATCCATCTCTCCCTGCAAGCCAGGATGTCCCCAGGGAGACCCAACCCTCCAGGAGCTGGCACAAGAAGGGATATTTTAGCCTGTTCCCTGCCCAGGCGTCGGGAACTGAGCATTCCTTGGCATTTAACATGGAAGCGAGGAGGAAATTTGGGTGCCAAACCTCCAAGGAAGGAAAATATCTGCGCTCCAACCCCGAGGAAGAAGCATTTGATGGGAGCAGAGAGGGAGCAGTCGGGGGTGCCAGGCTGGCACCGTGCCGTGGCCGTGCTGGGAGCCCCCCGCTCGTGGCAGCCGCTCTCTCGCTGCAGCCTGACATTTTTCTGCTTGGGTGGCTCGGAGGCAGATGCCAGCACCTCCCTTCCCCCTGTGTGACAGCCCTGGTCTTGACGTCCCCATCTGTCCCCCTCGCTCCCTTGGCCATCGTTGTGCCCCCCCCAGAGCCCCCCAGGCTTAGCCTGACCCCCACGGTGAGCCAGGCACTCCCTGCACATCCAGGCAGCACATCTGCACCCAGAGTGCTGTTTTTCTCTGCTTTAAATGGACCAAGCCACTAAAAACCCAACCAATCCCCCCACCCCGGGGCAGCACAGTGGGCAAGCTTTGCCCCCTCCATGGCTGCTGCTCCCCTGGGACGATGTTCCCACCCGTGCAGGGACACCAGCACCCGTTGTGCCACCTTCCCCAGGCCGTCCCTCCACCCCACGCACCTCTGCCTTGCTGGAAAGAGCTGCTTGGCCACATCCACCCTCCGCTTGTCCCGTTGGCCCGAGGCTGGCCCCAGGTGAGGCACCCAAAGGTGGTATCTGGAAAGAGGCAAAAAGCTTTGAGGACAAACACCCCTGAGCCCTCCCCGTCTTTAACCAACTAGCCCTGGAAGCACCAGGACACGAGGACAGATCTCCAGATGTGGCCAGCTGCCACGTTGCCTCCGATCTATGTGCCAAGCTGTGGGGTGAGGAACAGCAGAGACCTTCAGTGCCCGGCCGTGGAGCCAGGGTTTGGAGCTGCTGGAGGCAGCTGCCCATCCCTGATGAATCCAGGAGGGGAGAGGAAGAGTGTGGTACACTCAGTTCGTTAACGCTGGCTCTGCCTTCTCCATCATCACCAGGTGACACCTCCCGGAAACCCTCCTGTCCCCCCACTGCTGCGATCCCAGAGCTGGGGACATCCCTGTCCTCTCAGCCCCACACCAGCTTGGGACGCAGAACAGCCTCGACCCCCCTGTGAAGCTTTCTTTCCCCTGCCCTCCCCCCCAGCCCAAGTGCTTCTCAGCTGATCCTTTGGCCGTGGGGGAGGACACGCGTGGGCAGGGAGCCGGGACATCACGTCCCTTGGCCTTGCAGGGAAATACCAGCCCCGGGCTGGGAGCAGCCTCCGGGATGGCTCGAAAACCCATCAGCAGGGACAAAACCCCCACCCCGAGCCCAGCTGTGCCCACAGCCCCTGGAGGGAGGGGAGAGCCCTCCCCACCTGGAGCATCCCGACACCCCCAGGGAGCCTGCCCCAAATTTCAGGGCTCCTCAGCCCCGCTGTGGCCAGTTCCCCTCACAGCTGAGCTGGGGGCTGCCGTGCCCCGGGCACGGGATGCTCTGTGGGAGCAGGGCAGTGTCCTGCAGCCCAAAAATGGAGGGGGGAAGGCATTGGGGCAACGCTGACAACTAAAGATGACACCACGGAACCCCAAACGCTGCTCTTCTATATGAAGAACAGCCCAGGGGCAATACAGGGAGAGGGTTTCGAGTGGTGGGGAGTGAGGGAATCATGGACCAGGGCCAGGTGGCAGCAGGAGGTGCTGGAGAAGCAGGGAGTCGGGTGCTCCGGCCGCCAGCCCGCATCTCTCTGTGGTTGCACACCAATCAGGAGAGCCTCCCCACAGGGGAAAAGGAAAAAAAAACAAAGAGGGCAACAAGAAGTGTTGCAGGGAGATTATGCACGTCATTACCCGGGAGTATCTGGAGAAGACTTGACACGAGCTGCCCAAGCCAGCTGCTGCAGCAAACAAAGATCTCATTGCCGCCGGCATCGGCTCGGGGACACGCTCAGTGGCAGCTGCCCGGCCCCGAGGCCACACTGGGCTGGGAACATGCCCCACACTCCCTGCCTGCTCCTGCCTGCTCCTGCCTGCGGGTGGGACGGACCCAGCCCATGGCACAGCACATCCCGTGCCCGCTGACGTCGGAATCACAGCTCGGCACAGCTCGCCAGGGACTCTGGAAAGCTCTGTTAAAATCCAACAAGTCGTTTACCTTAAATACCAATTTGGCAATAGATCTGTCTTGGCGTTTTGGTAGCTCTGGGCTTTCCAGCCGAAGCATTTGTTGGATCATCAGAAACAGAGTTTTGCCCTTTACCTTCCATGGGCAGCGAGGGAGCCGCCCACGCGTGGAGCAGCAGAGGCTTTGGAGCAAAGCAGGAGTGAGGACGAGACCTCCAGGGACAGCACCGACCACAGACAGACCCAAGGGACTCAGGGGAAGACAGCTTGGACGGAGAAGCTTGGTGCTGTCATCCCAAAATCCCACCTTATAGCTCTCCCACCCTCTCCCAGCCCTGCAGGAGATGGAGACTGGGCTCCCCATCACAGCATCATCTGGTTTTCAGCTCATTTCTGGCCATTTCCTCCCCGTTTCCTCCATCCCCAGTGCAAACCCCTCCGAGCAATGGGTTTCCCTCCCAAGGAGGCTGTGGGGCTGGTGTGTCCCTCCCCATTTCCTCAGTCAAAGGGAGAACCCTGGCAGCTACAGGCAGGATGGGGACTAATGAGTGCCCCACTCCAGCTCCGGGGAAAGGGAAGATCCCAGGCTGCAAAGGAGGGGGAGAAAATTGTCTTGGATTGAAGTCCCGGGCCCTGTGTGTTGCCATTTATGGCTGCACTTTCTGCTCCAAGCCTGATGCAAGACATTGCAAGAGGGAAAGAAAAGCAGCCAGCCAGCCAGAAAGAGAAAAGCCAGGAGGAAAAGGGGAAGGAAGAAGCCTTTAAAAAAAAAAAAAAAAAAAAGAATAAATAATAATGTTGGCAGATCCTTTTCACCCCACTGCTGGGGCTCTCCATCCTCCTGCCAGCCAGGGCAGCAGCTGCCACAGAAGGAGAGCAGTTTTCCTGCTCCAGGCAATGGGGCTGGATGGCTCTGGGGTGCCCAGTGGGGGACATTCCTCATGCAGAAGTTGTGCTTCATAGGTCTGACCCCCTCCCAGAAAAGTGTGAGGACCATCTGCTCCCACCAGTGCCCCCATCACTGCTGCCAGCAAAGACAAGCTATGGAGCAGCCAGAGTCCCACCAAAGCCCTGGGGCCATCCAGCCCCCAGTGAGGGGTCAGGTGATGCTGGGTCTGATTGGGAAAACCTCCTTGGGCAGGGAGCAGAGGGGGGCAAAGCCTGCCCCCACCTCAGAGGCTTATTCGGTGGCCATCCATATGGGTGGCCACTTCAGAAGGCAACGAGTCCCCTGCACACTGGCTCTGTGTGGGCTCCTGGCACCTGGGCAAAGCCTGCCCCCACCTCGGAGGCTTATTCACTGGCCATCCATATGGGTGGCCACTTGAGAAGGCAACGAGTCCCCCGCACACTGGCTCTGTGTGGGCTCCTGGCACCGTCCCCAGCCCCCTGGCTTCCCCAGACCCGCTGGAGGGGACACAACATAAAGCCCCCACCGTGCCCCAGCCCTATGGGACACACAATGTCCCTGGGGGGGTGACACACGTCCCACCTCACTTCTCGATGTGCGGACACTGCAAGAGAGGACGTGTTCGTTAGTGGCACCGGGTGAGAGACGGGGATCAGCCGAGTGACGATGGGTTTGGCAGGAAAGGTCCACATCCCACTGGCAGGACCCCGTGCCACTACCAAGGCTGTGACAAGGGGTAGCCCATCGTCACAGCCCTCCCCACATGAAGCTGCAGCTTCGTGTCCCAGCTCTGCCAGCCTGCACAGTCACCAATTAAAGCCTAAAGGCTAATTAGACACCCTCTCCCTTCCAGACAGGAGATGTTAGAGGGGAGATGCTGACTTAAATTTAAAGAGGGGTCTCTGCTGGGAGCCAGGTGGTTTGTGCTTCTGCTGCCTGGTGTGTCTGGGGGTCCTGGTAGCCCCCAGAAGGCAGAGATGGGCTGGAGGAAGAAGGGAAAGGCAGCCAGAGCTTTGCAGAAGAGGCAGGTGACATCCCCTCTGTGCCTTTCCCAGCTGGGTGACAGCAGAGTGGCCTGGACAGGCAGGGTTTGTATCACTGTCCCTGGCCAGGACGAGCTGAGCAGCTCTGAGCGTGAATTAAAGCCTAAAGGCTAATTAGACACCCTCTCCCTTCCAGACAGGAGATGTTAGAGGGGAGATGCTGACTTAAATTTAAAGAGGGGTCTCTGCTGGGAGCCAGGTGGTTTGTGCTTCTGCTGCCTGGTGTGTCTGGGGGTCCTGGTAGCCCCCAGAAGGCAGAGATGGGCTGGAGGAAGAAGGGAAAGGCAGCCAGAGCTTTGCAGAAGAGGCAGGTGACATCCCCTCTGTGCCTTTCCCAGCTGGGTGACAGCAGAGTGGCCTGGACAGGCAGGGTTTGTATCACTGTCCCTGGCCAGGACGAGCTGAGCAGCTCTGAGCGTGAGGTCCCCCTTGCCAGATCACCTCCAGAGCTGTCCCCTCTCTCCCCACCCTCACCCGCTTGACCCTGCTCTGTTTGAAGCCACCAGCTGCAGTTAATCCTTGGCAAACCAGCCAAGATGCTGTGCCCAGCAGAGAGCCTGGCACTGCCCACTCACCCTCTCCATCTCCGGGGCATCCCAGCAGTGGCTCTGGACCACCACTGAAAACCCTGCCCTATGGCTGCCATCTGCCACTTCCAGGCCAGAAATACTCATTACAGAATTGGGAGTTTTCTGACAGTTTCTCACAAGAACCAGACTCGGCAGCCCCAGCAACGCTGCAGTTCCCACCCAACAGCTTTTTGTTCGGGGATGGCTTTGACAGCCCTGCCTCATCCAGTAACAAGCTGGGGATGGGGATGAGAACAGACAGCGACACACTAATTAACTTTTTTTTTCAGTGATGGGAGCCAGCAGAGACAAGGGGAACCACTACCAGCAGCTAATAGTACCAACAAGGACTCCTGGGCTCCTTTCCCTGCTCTGCCCCTGGTTCATTTTGTAGCCGTGGGCACGATGCTGTGACCACCCGTTCCTCCCAGAGAGGGGCAGGGAAGCCTCACCCCCACGGATTTTAGCAGCCAGTTGCACGTCACAGATACTGGTTTTCACAGGCAAGGAGAAGGGAGGGAAGGAGGCAGAGGGGTGCAGAGCTCCAGCCATTAAACACACCAAGGCTGCTTTGCCCAGGTGGGTTCATCCATCAGCAATCTGGTTGAGTGGTTAATGGCTGCAGTGAATCCGAACCAGCCTTGGTGCTCTACGTCCTGAGCAAATGGGAGGGAGGGGGGGAAAAAAAAGGGAAAAAAAATAGGAAAGAAAGCTCTCTGAGTGCTGAGAACAGCCCTGAACTTGTGAGGTACTGACTCAGCCAAGAAGCCCTGAGCCTGCAGCAGCCCCGACGCCGCCGGGAGCCTCGTCTGCTGAGTCACATCAGGGGCCCGCAGCCCTCAGCCGAGCCAAGATGGGTTTGATAGAGCACGTTTCCAGCAGCAGCCGCCCGCAAAACACTTGCTGCTCTTCCCAAGGCCAGTCCCAGCCCTGCCAGTAACATCTGCTGGGCTTCAGCCTAAGCAGCGCTGGAGGAAGAGGATGAAGCAACTTTGAGGACGTTTGCAGGGAGCATCTCGCGAAAATGGGGAGCATCTGCAGAGCTGTGGATGCTCTCCCCAGCTCTGCCCGCAGGATGGGCCCCCTGGGATCAGCAGCCTGGTCCCTGCTCACACGTGTTGTGGTGGTGCCTGCTGGAAATGCACGTCCTCCCTCTGCCATGCCACCCAGCCCCACGGGACCACTGGCCACGGGCAGGCAGCCTGCACCGAGCCGTCCCGGCAGCCATGGGATCACGCGCGGGCCAGCGCTCCCAAACACTTACTCAGCAACGAGAAGCATCCCTCCCCCTTCCCCTGCTCCCCACCACCCCCCCACCCAGGGATGGCAGCCAACTCCTGCTCCCCATCCCAAAAAGATGCTGCTCAGGTCCAGGGAGACTTGCCCTGCCTTGCTCCTCCAGCCAGGGAGCCCTTTCCCAGGAGGAAAAACTGGCCAGGACCCTACTCAGCTCCGGTGTCCCCTCTGCTCTGAGAGGGGCTGAGGGGTCTGGAGCACAAGTCTTGTGAGGAGAGGCTGAGGGAGCTGGGGTTATTCAGCCTGGAGAAGAGGAGGCTGAGGGGAGACCTTATTGCTCTCTCCAACTCCCTGAAAGGAGGGTGTAGAGAGGTGGAGGTCGGTCTCTTCTCTCAAGTCACAGGAGACAGGACGAGAGGAAATGGCCTCAAGTTACACCAGGGGAGGTTCAGGCTGGATATTAGGAAATTTTTTTTCACCGAAAGGGTTCTCAGCCATTGGAATGGGCTGCCCAGGGAGGTGGTTGAGGCACCATCCCTGGAGGTGTTCAAAAGACGGGTTGATGTAGTGCTGGGAGGTATGGTTTAGTGATGGTGTTGCTTTTTGTTTGTTGTGCGGGTGTTTATTTTTGTCAAAGTTAGGTTGACGGTTGGACAAGATGATCTTTAGGGTCCCTTCCAACCTAGAAGATTCTGTGATTCTGAAGGCAGCACAGCAGAGACCCCAGTCCCACAGGACGCAGCCAGGTGTCTGGAGGACCCTGTGCCTTGAGTTTGCTCCCCTCCAGGTGTGCAAAACCCTGTTATCAGGCCTGTGGGGATAAAGGAGCCCAACCCGTCTGTGAAGGCGATAAGTGGTGCCTCTCCCAGAAGAAATCGGGACTGAAAAGAGCAGCCAGAGGAGAGGGGAAACATTCCTGAGAGGACTCAAGCTGGTGAGGCAGCAGAGGAACCCGTGAGCTCTGCCATCTGTGCTTCATCACAGAGCCCTGGGTGTAACCCGGGCCCCGCGGCGGCTCCGGCTGAGTGGCCAACTCTGCTGCTGAGCTAGCCCAGCCAGGCCCCAGCCGGCTAACGGCAGCCCGGGGGCTCTCCGGCTTGACAAGGAGCTTGGTGCTCGGAGGCAGCAATAAATCACAGGGCAGAGGGACAGATGTGGCTTCCAGACTGCTGGGATGAAGGAGGGGGCTGCTTGAGAGCCCAAACCACAGCCAAGGGGTGTCGGGAAGGGGAAAGGGAGAGCTCCGAGGCTCAGAAACGACAAGGGGAGGTGAGGAAGAGCATGGGGAGGCGAGGAAGAGCACGGGGAGGCAGGCTCACGTCCCAGCCCCACAGCGGGTCAGAGCACCACGGAACAGGGGGGCGTGCAACCCCCCTGGGACATGCCCAAGGCCATGGAGTGAGTCAGTGGCGATGCTCTCCAAGGGAAGGGCTGTCTGCGCGCTGCCCAGGAGCCTGGATACAGTCGCCGAGGATTACAAATACTGCTAATAATAGCCAGCAGGCACCCGGGCCCCAGGCCGGCCCCTCCCCAGCCGAAATACAGAGGATGCACCACTCCTGGGGTTCTGAGACACCCCATTGCTCACTTCCCCCCATTGGGAAAAGGGGTCCCCTTGGGCAAAAGCCCCCAACACTGTGAGTTGGGGGCACCTTGGGTTGTCACCGAGTCCCATCCAAGCCTGGGAAGAGCAGAGCGAGCTCCTTCCACGTAGGCTGGGTGGCCCTTTTATTTTTAAACAAGATCCGGTGCTGGAGGAGGATTTACCGGGCGTTTATAGGCATCACTCCCCCCTCCAAACCCCCTCCCGCCCCCAGTTCAGCCAGGGGTCAGACCTTGGGGCCAGTGTCCTGCTGGGGCTGGGGAGGAGGGGGAAACCAGTCCCTTCCCCTGGGGCAGGCAAGGACAGCCAGCGGGGGACAGCACAAGGGAACCCCGTGCTGGCAAAGGGACAGTTTGTGGCAACCCACGGAAAGAGGGTGCAGACAGGAGAAATAAACACACACATTCCACCCCCCCACCACCCCCCCGGCACCTGGATTAGCTCTTGGGGGAAGGAAAAGACTCCCAGGGGCTGGATGCACAGAGGGGAGAGGCTCACACTGAGCCTCTTCCCTTCCCTTCAACCTTCTCTTCCCTTCAATCTTCACTATTTTGATTATTTTTAAGAGCGTACCTTAGGAGGAGGTGGTGGAGGAGCCCGAAACGCCCTCCCCACCATCGTCGCCACCCTCGGGGACAACGGGCTTGTCCCCAACCCCACGGCAAAGCCCATCTTTTGCCGGGATTTCCCTTGTTTTAGAGAAAAACCCGGCCGCCGCGCTCCCACCCGCGGGGACAGGGACAGTCCGAGAAAGGGACACTGCGGGCGGGTGTGACACCGGCTGCGGGGACCCCAGCGGTCCGGGGGGACGGGGAGAGGGTCGGATACCATAGGGGGAGGTGGCAGAAAGGAGCCCGAAACGCCCTCCCCACCACCATCGCCACCCTCGGGGACAACGGGCTTGTCCCCCACCCCACGGCAAAGCCCGTCTTTTGCCGGGATTTCCCTTGGTTTAGAGAAAAACCCGGCCGCCGCGCTCCCACCCGCGGGGACAGGGACAGTCCGAGAAAGGGACACTGCGGGCGGGTGTGACACCGGCTGCGGGGACCCCAGCGGTCCGGGGGGACGGGGAGAGGGTCGGTAGGGAACCGGTCTTACCTTGTTCTCCGCCTCCTCCCGGTTCTCGGGCTCCCGGGGCTCGGCGGGCGGGGGGATGCTGCTCTCGGTGGCCGGCGGGGGGATGCTCTCGGCGGGCGGTGACCGGGGGATGCTCTCGGTGGCCGGCGGGGGGATGCTCTCGGCGGGCGGTGACCGGGGGATGCTGTCGGTGGCGGCGGGGCTGGGTCCGGCGGCGGGGCTGGGTCCGACGGCCGGCCCGGGCTCTGCCGCCTCCTCCCGCCGCTCTCCAGCCGCCTCCTTCGCCCCCTCCTCGCCCGCCCCGACCTCCTCCACCGGCACCCGGCCTCCCTCGTCCTCCGGCCCCGCTCCCGCTTCACCCCCGGGGACGGAACCGCCTTCCCGGGCCGGCTCAGCCGCCGCCGGTTCCCGGGGCCGCTCCGCCGCCCGCTCCCCCTCGCCTCCCCGCAGCCTGACGAAGACGGAGGCGAGGACGATGGCCAGGACGGTGAAGAGCAGCGGGACGGCCAGGTACAGGTCCACGGCCACCTCCATCTTTTCCAACTCCTTGGCTGCCGGGAGACCCCGGTCCCCGACCCGACTGCGCGGCCGCGGGAGGGTGCGCGGAGCCGCCCGCTGGGCCTGCGGCGGGGCTGGGCAGGCTCTCAACCGGCTTTACCCGGCGTCATCTGCCTGGGCCCTGCCCACAGCCCCCGGACCTCCCCCCGCTCTCCCCCTTCCCGCACGGAGCCGGCAGCCACAGCCGTGTCCCATCCTCCCCCCCCCCCGGATGCAGACACGCACCCACGGGTGGGATTTGGGCAGGGGAGGGAGGGAGGGGGACGGGGTGAGGAAGGCTGGCGCTAGGATCTGTCATTAAACGCTGCTTCTATATCCAAAAAGTCATTCCCGGACCTTTCCTCACTTAGAATCACAGAATGGTTTGGGTTGGAAGGGACCTCAAAGATCATCTAGTTCCAACCCCCCTGCCATGGGCAGGGACACCTCCCACCAGAGCAGGTTGCTCAAGGCCACATCCAGCCTGGCCTTGGCTGCATCATTCCCAGTTCCAGAAGGACAGGGAACTGCTGGAGAGGGTCCAGCAAAGGGCCACGAAGATGAATGAGGGCCTGGAGCATCTCCCCTACCAGGAGAGGCTGAGGGACTTGGGTCTTTTGAGAAGGCTTAGGGGAGATCTGATCAATGCTTATAAATACTTAAAGGGAGGGCATCAGGAGGATGGGGCTGGTCTTTTTTCAGTGGTGCCCAGTGACAGGACAAGAGGAAATGGGCACAAACTTGAATATAAGAAGTTCTACCTAGGAACTTCTTTCCTGTGAGGGTGGCAGACCCCTGGAACAAGCTGCCCAGGGAGGTGGTGGAGTCTCCTTCTCTGGAGACATTCAAAACCCACCTGGACAAGTGAGGCTCGATGAGGCCCTGGGCAACCTGGTCTAGTTGGGGGTGTCCCTGCTGACTGCGAGGAGGTTGGACTAGATGGCCTTTGGGGTTCCCTTCCAGCCTGGACAATTCTATGATTCTATAAATTGCCTGTGCAACCTGCTCTGGGTGGACCCGCTCTGGTGGGGGGGTTGGACTGGATGATCTCCAGAGGTCCCTTCCAACCCCATGTGATTCTATGATTCCTAACAGTTTGACTTGGACAAGTCTCCATCTCCCGGGATGCTTGCTGTGGGAGCAGAGGAGCACCCACAGCTGGGTGAGCTCAGGGCAGCCTGTGCAGTTTGGGGTGTCAGCTGGACTCCCTGTACCCACTTAACGAGCATTTGCACCTCGTTAGCCCTTGGCTGGGGAGCGGAGGAGCTGGCAGGGCTAAGGAAGGATGTCCCGACTCTCCTCGGCGAGGAGCATCTGGTGATGCATCTACGCCAAGTGTCACTGCACCTTCCCCAGGAGCTGCGGGTGATATTGGTGGCACCTCTGTGCCATGAACTGCCATCCTACCCCCCGGGTAAGGGGGTGCTGAGAGCCTCCCCCCAAGCGCCTTGTGTTGGGGGTGTCAGAAAAACAGGAGGCTGAAAAACCACAACGTGCCCAAAAGCCCTCACAAGCTGGCAAGGAGACTGGGCCAAGAGGTTGCCAGGTCCTTCCAGACGCTGCCACCAAGGATTTCCTGCCCCCCGAGCCCGCTGGGAGGATTAGCCAACCTTCTACAAAGCAGGCTGAAATTAGAAGGTCTAATCTATTCCTGCCAGGGTAAAACCAGCACCGAGCTTTCTCCCAGCCACCAGCCAGGGGAGCAGACATGGGAATCTGCCCTCAACGTTTCCTCCAGGGAAAGGGCTTTGGAGATATCTCCTGGAGCAGAGATTTTTATTGACTGGCTAAAAACAAAACACGAACAAAGACGGGATTAAACCCCCGGGGTGGGAGGAAGGAAGTGAAGCCGTGATCCTCACCGCAGTTTGTCTTTATTGGTAATCCTATCAGGCAGGCAATCGTTAGCGTATGGATAATTGTATTCTTAGTAACAACCAAGCATGGTACTTATCTTCCCTTCTCCTGCGGGGCTGTGCAGTTCCTGGGCCCCGATCATCGGAGCTGCTCTAGAGCTCAGCCAAAACATCCAGATGTGGCAGCGTCACAGCAGTGACCGCTTCAGAGTCTTTTTTGATGCCTCTTTGGTCCCTTCTTCTCCCTCCCTGCCCAAATCCATTCTTTAGCTCGGTGAAGCTACTGGCTTCCCAAAGTCTGAGTCGCTAGATGGAAGTAGTGGAAAAGCACGGGGGATGTGACAGCCGGGAGAGCTCCACCAGATCAATACAGAGGGGTACGAGTAGGTCTGGGGACTAAAATTCGCCCTCAAGGAGCTTCTGGAAGACCCTTTCAGTGGCAGAAGCAGCAAAGAGTCTCAGCCAAAGGGTTCCCAGCAGAGCCTGTGCAGCAGGAGGGGGTGATCACCGATGGGAGCCTCAGGTGTGTGATACATCACCGTGTGTTTGGGGAGGCAGTTTGGGAATCAGCAGTTAATTGGGTTCATCTGTATTTCTTCTGTTTTTTAAGTAGCCTCAGAGCTGAGCTGACCCCACCTGCAGTAGCCACGAAGGCATCATCCCAAATCCCAAATCCAGTGCATCACTTGCTTTCTGAGACTTGCCCTGGGAATTGCTCAGAGACAGAGCCAGGGTCGGGTTTGGGGACAAAGAGGAATTTTGGGTGAGACTGCCAGAAACTGTGGCCTGCTAGTGGGGTGACTCAGGGTGTTCTGGCCTCACACACCGAAATACACATTTCCAGCTGTCACAGTGCCCTCCATTACTGCTGGCACCCAGGCCATCTCCTGCTCTTTTTCCCTGGAACCGTGCATTTTCCGTGGCTCTGTTGGAAGCCCACTGGAGGCTGTTGGCCTGAGCAGGAATGCAGTGGCATGTGGCTTCCATTAACCCAGTGCAGAGAGGGACCACTCCAGCCAGTACTTGACACAGGAGGTGGTGGCCCTCACAGCTTCTTCTGGGATGGGGAACACAGATGGGGAACCCAGGCAGGAGCTACAGCCAGAGATGACCATTAGCAGCTTCCAAAGACCTGCAGCGATTCACTATCGGGCAGTTGGAACCTGCCACGCTTGTAGGAGTTGTGAGAACCACAGGGCTTGGACATCTCTGACAAACAACACTCCCGGTCTTGGGAGCAACAGTCAGGAGCATCAAGGACACGTCTGTGAGAACAACTGTTCCAACTGAGCCACCTTCATACAGCAACATAGAATCGTCGAGGTTGGAGGGGGCTTAAAGATAATCTAGTCCAACCATCAACCTAACTTTGACAAAAAAGTAAATAAGAAATAAGCAATAAAAAAAAGAAATATCACTAAACCATATTCTTGAGGACCATGTCAACCCATCTTTTGAACACCTCCAGGGATGGTGCCTAAACCACTTCCCTGGGCAGCCCATTCCAAACCCTTTCCGTGAAGAAATGTTTCCTAATATCCAATCTAAACCTCCCCTGGTGCAACTTGAGGCCATTTCTCCTTGTCCTGTCTCCTGTGACTTGGGAGACAAGACCGACCCCCCCTTCTCTACACCCCCCCTTCAGGTAGTTATAGAGCACGATAAGGTCTCCCCTCAGCCTCCTCTTCTTCCCACGTCCAGGCCTGGGGTGAGAGCTGGACCCTCCTGCGGAACATGATGTGATGGGGATGACCCCCCAGGCAGAAACAGGCCCAGCGTGGTGTCCCCTTGTCCCCTCCACAGCTCTCCAGAGGCAACGGGATGGAATAACGTTGCAAAGCTCCCACCAGGAGGGCCAGAGGGGATCTGCGTGGGCATCCCCCTGCAGACTGATGGGTACTAAATACAAATCCATGGGTATAGAATCACAGAATGGTTCGGGTTGGAAGGGACCTCAAAGATCATCGAGTTCCAACCCCCCTGCTGTGTGTCCCCCCCCAGGGCCCCACACACACTGTCACATCCCCACAGGAACCCCATCATGATCCCCCAGAGCTCCCTACATATCCCCACAGTCATATCCCCCCAGGGACCCCCACACGAC